TAACCACTACGCTACCAGAGCTCCTTTCAAGCTGTGAATATTTAGAGGTAAATCTTGAGCATACAAGGAAAAGCAGCAATAAGAATGGAGGGGGAAAAATGAAAACAAAGACAGTAAGATGGACACCACCACCTCACCATTTCCATTAGCCCTCTGTCTTTTGGGGGCGGGGGGCATGATGGAGATTAGCTAATCAGACACAAATCTGACTTGACATTTTTTTTCTATAGCTGGGGTGTGATTTTATTGATTGAGTTATAAAACCTGTTTACATTCACTTAAATTGAAACAACCACCTTCCTACTATTATTATTCCCAACCCAGATCCACTGTTGTGGAGTCAATAGTAACTCACAGTCACCCTATAGGACAGAGAAGAATTGCTCCATAGGTTTCTCCATAGAAGCTGGCTGCCACATCTTTCTCCTACAGAGCAGCTGGTGGGTTCAAGCCATCAAGCTTTTGGTTAGCAGCTGATCATTTTAAGCTGATCACTGTGCCCCCAGCGGTCCTCCTACTAGTGCTACAAAGATAGTAAGTAAACTCCTTGACACCCGAATTCAGATATTTAATTGTACATTTATTTATTCCATAGGTAAATACCCAATCACGTTATATCGTAATAATATATTAATTTTCTCTTCCAGTAGACTCTGAGTTTCTTAAAAGTGGAAACTGTTGTCTGCGTACTTAGCACACTGCCTAGCGTACACCACCCTCAATTTTATTCCAAATAGGCAGGCATTCAAAAAAGGAACAAGGAATTCCTGTCACCCCTCATCTGTAGGGTCTTCAATGTCCTTACCAGGAAAATTAAGGGATCAAATGAGAAGATCTTAAACATTCTTTACAGCTTTAAAGTTCATTGTTCCATACTATAAACTAGCCTAAGACATTGAGCTAGCTCTTTTAAGTTATGATTATAGGCTGGAAGGGAAGTTCACATGCAACTGTATTCTAAGTCAACCCAAGACTCTGTAAGCATTATACTCGGGGGTGGGGTGGGGCGTGGTTTAAATGTTTGTGGGGAAATGGAATTACAGATAATAGAATTTTTCCATGAACTTTTTTGACTTCCTCATACTTGTTGGACAAGCTAAATGTTGGGAATACTGAGGAGAAAGGAATTACCCATGACTTTTTGAGATGACCAGGAAAAGTATTGAGAAGAAGGCAGTAGTTTGGAGGAGAGAGAGAGGCTTGAAGATTGTGTAAAAAATTTTAAAAGTCAAAACAGAAAGGAGAGAAGGTATAAAGAAGATTCCAGACAGAAAGAATGGGTGAAGTCACATCACATGCAAGATGAATTTGAGCATTTGCAAGTCCTCCTGGTGTGACAGAGAAGTAAAGGAAACCAGGAAAGGGCATGGTTTGAGTGAATGAGTGAGGTAAGAAGTCTCCAAAGGGCTGCTAAGCAAGTTCTGTCAATGTGAAAAAGTGGGAGCCATAAGCAATGCAGAGTCAGCAGATGGAGTTCCAGATTCAAGGTCTTGGGGGTGAAGCAGTTCCGAATGAAAGGTTAAAAGTGCTTCTGTATTGTTGTTGTTGTTTTAACTACTGTTGAGTCGGTTCTGACTCAGGATGATCCTTGTATAAGATTTCTGAGGAGCAAGTGGTGGGTTTGAAGCCAATCTTGTGGTTAGTAGTCCAGTGCCTCTGTATTGTTGCTGTTGAGTCCGTTTTGACTCATAATGACCTGGGATAGAGTTTCTGAGGAGCAGCTGGTGGGTTTGAACCACCAGTTTGTGGTTAACAGTCCAGTGCTGATCCTACAGCAGTGAATAAAGTGGAGGAACTGGGAATTGGGAAGTCAGTGTATTCATTTTGAAGTTGCCTTATCAAGGAGACAATAAAATTTAAAATATAGTGGTCAACACCTCTAACTTAGAATCTAACTTCTTGTGTTAGAATTGTGTGACTTTGGGCAAATGCCTAAACCTCTATGTGTTTCAGCTACCCATCTGTAATGTTTATATTATAGTAGCACCTCCTTCACAGAGTTATAACATATGTGGAAGGCACATCTAAATGTTTGACTTGCATGCAATACGTGAACAATACAAAGTCAACTTTACCAATCTTAAGAAGCCAGGTGGCATTGTGGATTAGGCAGTGGGCTGCTAACCTCAGGTCAACAGTTCAAAACCACCAGCCACTCCTCAGGAGAAAACTAAAACTCTCTATTCTGGTAAAGATTTATAGTCTCGGAAACTCCACATCGGGGTTGCTAGGAGTAGGAAACGAGTTAATGGCAGTGGATTTGTTTTGGGTCTGAGTTATCAGCTTTCTGAAACCTGAAATCAGTAAGAAGTCAGCAGGACAGTCATATTTTCATCCATATGCGAGTTTAACATTCTCACTTATCAAAGCATCTTAGACTAATACTTTGAACTAAAGAATAAGAATAAAAATCCATCCCATGCAATAAAAAAAAGGATGAAAGACTATCAATACTGTATTAGTCAGGTTGCAAAACATTCTGTGTAATTGACGTTGCTAAATTACACACGTGAAAAATGGTTTAACAAATTGTTAGGTATATTTTTTGTTCTGTTGTTATGTATATTTTTGCAACAATAAAAAAGAAAATCTACTCATAATATTCTTCTCTGTTAATGCCTTTAATTTACAGGGATGTCAAGCAATGTGAGAAACTGAAGAAGTTACTGATGTTATCTCTGGAATCCAAGAAGCTGATGCCAAAGACAACACTTTCTTGAAATCAATTAATAATCACATGCTGTATTTGGGAGACTATCAGCTCATGATTGTGGATCACTACATAGCCCAATTCATAAATATTTTATTCATGCTCTCCACAGTTCTCTGTACAAAGAACCAAAAAATCCAATAGAAACACATTGTCTATGAAAAATAAAGCATAGCAAGAGGTAGTGTGAATATAAGCACAGAACAAAGAAGACAGGAGGAGAAAAAACTTCCAGGAAGATAATGAGGACAAAGGAAAGGGGTGAGAGACTTGAAGTTGAGTGGGAAGGAGAAAGACAGGTAGAAGAGAAATAGTTAAATGAAGAAGCAGAAAAAGAAAATGAGATGGAGAAAAATGTAAGGTAACATTTGAAAAGAAGTGGAGAATGTCAAACTCGATCTTTTGTTCCTTAATAGAGTGATTTCCAGATGATAGTTGAGTAGTAAGCATTCACAAACTATTCTTGTTTTTTTAAAAAAATTTGCTGAAATAATATATTTACCAAAACAAAGCTACAGAAGCTGCTCGAAACATAAAATTCCACTGGACAAGTGAAATTATGTTGATTCAATAATAAAATGTGTTACTTAATATAGCTTAGAAGTTCTAACACTTAGGTAGATCTTTGATTAATGGAAGATATTAACACTAATTTTTATTTAATATGATGAGTTTGATAAATATAAATCTTTCAAAAGCAATGGAAGCAACAGAAATAAAGATCTCCAGCCTTACTGTGAAGCCACCTCTTTAAAAATTTAGGAACCCCTCTTCTGAATGGTTAAAATAGACAAAAAATTACTTATAGTTGTAGCTATTGATTATAGTCATATGATTGTTTAATACACATGTACGATGATTCCCAGAAAAATGTGACTGTTGACCTAAGATCTGTCTTATATGTTGATTTTGCCAAAACACAATCTCTACTGATCCCAACCTCAAAATCAACTTTTTTATTATATATTGTTGTTGTTAAGTGCCGTCGAGTCAGTTCCAACCCATAGCGACCTTGTATAGGGTTTCATATACTACCTCTTAATTTTGAATGAAAGACACAACCTCTAATAATGGAATCTGCCTCCATAAGTATCTCAATTCACATTTAGTAGTAGAAATTGTGATCATCAGCTTGTTGATACCAATGATGCTTGACTATTTTGATTCACTCATACACTATGCATAGAAGAAATGCTTGAAATCCAGGAATTATATACTATAATTTATACTATATAATAGATTATTTAATTATCACTGGAAAATAAATGTAATATATATTAGTAGAATATATGTTAAAATGACTATGATGAGCAAATAAAATATTCACAAACATGAATTGTTTTCCTTTTTACCAAAGCTCACCTTTATCCTCATATTATCTTTCTCATTTTCTCTATCTGATATGCTGGCTCCAACAATCCCTGACCCCAATAAGACCTTTACTCCCTATCTCAGCCCCTCAGGTCCTCAGTTCCCTCCCTACTCAAGTTGTTGTTATTGTTATTAGCTCCTGTTGACTTAGCCCAAACTCCTGGCAACCCTATGCATAATGAATGAAACACTGCCCAGTCTTGCCCCATTCCTGTGATCAGTTACAGATTGACCAGACCACTGTGTTC